AGGGTGGAGGGGTGGGGGGGATGTTGCATGTCAAGGAATAATGAGCGCAGACACATCAACAGACAACAACAAAGCAGACTGTGACTGGCCGGTGGGAGTTAAAGGCCTTCAGTCATTGGCAGCTTTAGCCAAACATCCCCAAATCTATGAAGCAGGCCCCATTGTTGGTCAGTTGTTCTTTGCAATGAAGCACAGATCTGATCATGTTTAAAGTGGCGGCACGCAGGGCAGGAGCGCTTGAGCTCAAGCAAAGGATGGAAAAAGAAAAAAAAAAAAGTCTTTGTTGGATGAAAAAGGGCCTGTCTGAGATTCTTATTTCTGTCTGTCCTGTGCAACCTATAAGTCAATATAGATAAGTTTTCCTTGGCAAACTTCAGTCAAAAGGCTGGGGCTTCCAGAGGTCTGGTTTAAATGTTTGCACATGCAGAATCCTCTGGGGGCAAATACATACTTCACTGACTATTACTCTGCTCTTCTTAGCATTCTTTATTTTTAATCTCTAAAGGCAAATCATCAGAAATACAGAAATTCCTTGGAGGATACAAAAAGTCATTCTAGTTCAATATCTACTGTTTTGTAGTTAAGGAATTACTGTGAACAGATCATTGTGATTCATCTCTCCAAGCATGCTACGTATTAATAATTTTTTCTGCCAGAGTTGATGCACACTTAGGGATATCCTTAGCTGATTGTAGCTTTTATATGTGTGCATGTCGTTTTATAGTATCTGCCCACACTGCACACTTACTTCTCTAGTGGAGTATGCACACAGGCACTGTTGGTAGTTATCCATGCAGATATTTCTACCTCCTGACACTTTGCAACCTGGATTCCCTGAGGGTCTTGTGCTGAGGGAACTATCAGAGGAAGGCTATGTGTGAGTATGTGCGAAGCTGCTAGCTGGCTCTCTTCTTCCCTTGTAAGAATGGCCGAGTTTCAACTGACTCTGCTTTGGATAGAGTGAGACAAGTCAGTCTGGACCTTTGGCTGTGTTATACAGACAGAGTTCACAGATCTTAGAGAACTGAGTGTGTGGTACTATGTGCGCAGGATCAAGGCCTAGGAGAAGGGGACTTCTAGGAGAACTGAGGGTCTGTACCCTTATCTGTGTGTACTTGGGCATGTATGCATGACCTCTGAGGGTCAGAGTTGCCAGGGTACAGATTGGGTTAGTCTGAAGAAGTGGCTGCTCAGCTGCAGAAGCACTCTGCTCCAGCCGGGTGGCAACAGCTGCCTTGCCTTCTGCCCTCGCTCTCAGGAGATGAGCTGTCCTTCTGAACAGAGCTCTAGGTGCTCTCCTGGGGACAGCATGGTAGGCACTGTGTGGTAAAGAGCCTGGGAGTTGGCCTTGTACACATTGTCAATATAATTTATCTTGGTTTCTTTATTTACTGATAGGTATATTTATATATTTATCAACATAAACTCAGCAGGGATGTTTTGCCGCCATCTTTCAGGATGGAGCCTGTGTACTTGTGATGTCCTCAGTAGAATCACAGGACTAGCAACCTACACACTTTTTCCATAATGGACCTACATAGGGAGACAAGATAAATAGAATTACAATGAAAATTCAGTAAAGTTTCCAGAGCATTTTTTCCCTCACCCATATATCCTAACTCTCAAGTGGTAAACAACTGACTTCTTGATACAGCTCACATAATTGTTTCTTCTTATTTTTGCCAAAACTAGATTTCCTAAGATTGATTTATACAGTATTACCTTAAGAATCAGTTTTGTTCTGTGAATGTTTGTCATCTTAAAGACAGTGTCAGTTTTTCTGCTCATTTCTTTCTGCTGTCTGTATAACAACTTTGGGTAGCCATATACATATTCTTCTCTTTTCTCTTTCTCAAGAATAAACCTCATCTGTCTTTTTGCTGTGGTCCTAAATAACTTAAATGCTCAGTTTTAAAGTTCAAATTATAAGTAATTGGTTGGCCTTGTTTAACTTCAATGATGTTGATGGTGACTATCTTTGGAAATTGAATAAGATGTCTTAGAAATGACCTTAATAATGGGGCTTAACCAAATGAAAAGGGTCCACCCCCCACCCCCCATTTCCTTTTGTATGTACATGTGTGTGTTTGATTCTTCAAAGTTAAAAGACAGGGAATTCATCACAGAATGTTGCTCCCTTCTGAAATAGTTTGATTTTATCTAGTGTTGATATTTGAAGCTTCTAGAGGTGGAAGCTAAAAAAAACAAAACAAAAATGGAAGAGAAGAGTGGAAATTGCCTTGTGGCTACTAAATAGAAATTCAGATGGTCTTAGAACCTCAGCACCTGAGCTGACTGCAGCAGTCAAAATATTTACCTCATGTTAAAGCAAGGCAAGTCTAGCGTAAGAAATGAACGCCATATATAGACAGGGTTTTGAAAGTTCATGTACTAGAAACATTTAAAAGGTATGAGGACATTCAGATATTATGTTAAACATTGTTATGAAGTATTTATATCTTTGAGTCAAGTTGATAATTGGAAAAAAAGAATTAGTTGATAAGAGTATATATTTCACAATGTATCAAAATGGTATACATACCTACAGTAGCATTATTGAAGACCAATATTTTTATGTATTAAGCTTTTAGCATAATGGATAATGAATACTGTTTCCAGAAGAAGAAAAACACATTTTTAGGGTGGGGTTTTTCTCCAGGGAAAACAAAAAAATACAGAAGGCTTTCCAGTGGTGTCTTTTTAAAAAGGATATTTGGTTAATCACAGAAACAAAGAACTTGGATCTAACTTTTGGAAAGCCCAGGTACTCTTATTATTCAAAATGCACTTCTACTGAGTTTGAAAAGTTTCTTTTATATTTAAAATAAAGGTTCAAATATGTACATTCAATTTTTTTAGTGTTTATTTATGAAGTATATATTAACTAGTAATTGACCTTTAGTTTTATAGATATGGCAGTTAGGATAGTAAATCAATGGTTTATTAAGTATTCTGACAAGCAGTTTACATATTTGATGACCTCACATTTCCTTTTAAGACTCGAATGCTATGTAATTGTTCCCTTGTGTGGTTATATAAAATGAATCACAACATGGTAAGAAAAAGGTTGATGTTAAGTACCGTGGAGTCGGTTAGAACTCATAGTGACCCTGCACAGGGTTTCCTAAGGCTGTAAATCTTTATGGGAGCAGAAAGCCTCATCTTTCTCCTGCAGAATGGCTGGAAGTTTCGAACTGCCGATCTTGAGGTTAGCAGCCCAATTTGTAACCACTACGCTACCAGAGCTCCTAAGAAAACGGTTGTTGTTGTTAAGTGCCGTCGAGTCGGTTTTGACCCATAGCGACCCTGCACAGGGTTTCCGAGGCTGTAAATCTTTACGAGAGCAGAAAGCCTCATCTTTCTCCCATGGAGTGGCTGGTAGTCTCAAACTGCTGACTTTAAGGTTTGCAGCCCAATTCGTAACCACTACGCTACCAGAGCTCCTAAGAAAAAGGTTAGAGGTAGTCAAATGATAGCCTGACTAAAGTATTCATTTACATTTATTCAAATGGTCTATAAGGCTGTGTCAAGACCTAGCACAGCTTTATAGCCTATCTGCACAACATTATTTATTGTCTATGGATTAAATGGATTTTTTTTAAGTTGCTTTTAATTTTAAAAACACCTTTACTTGGTATAAAAGCCCTTTAATTTTAACTGACAGATCAATTCTGAAACTTTATTTTGAAAAGAGAATGGGAAAGAATTTGTGTCTTTAGAATTTAAAGAAGAGAAAAAAATAAACCAGACATTCTAAAAAAAAAAAAAAAAATGGAGAAACTTGATTTTTAGTACTAATGAAACAGAGGGTGACAATATAGTTGTCTTTTTGATTTTGATCACAAAAAATAAACTGGTAGTGACAGGGTGTGATGGAGAGATTTGACATCCTGGCAAATCACTGTCATTGATTCATTATTCTAATTCTGAATAAAAGCTGTATACAGTATGTGTTTATGCTACAGTGGATTTTTTTTTTTAAGTGACTGACATTCTTCAGACTGGTTAGACAGTTTTAAAAACCTAGTCTTTGTTTTCTACAATGTTGTCAAGAACAAATAAAGCATAATTTGTGGTGTATTAAAAGCAAACTGCTTAAAACTGCTAGTTTGAACTGAATCAAAATAGTCTAACAGATTTGAAAATGTATTTTGGAAATCCATTTTCTTTCAGTTGATGTTGAACAGCTTTTTTTTATATTATTTTTATTTAATTGAGACTCTACTTAAAATATGCAAGTTACTTTTAAGTTTCACTTTTTGTTTATTAGTTGTCAAAATCTTTGAGAATAGGGAGGTATGATATACAAAACCTAGTGTTTTATATAAAAAATTGGCTCAATGTACTATATACGGAAGTAGACATATTTATACGGTTAGGAATTGACATACCATGCCAGTGTTCATACTTAACAAAGGGTTTACCTGATGTAGTAGAAAGCTGAGTTACTTTCATTTGCCTACTTTGTCTCAGACCATGTTCTATAGAAATCTCTCACCAAACTTTGATAAACATTTCCCCCCTTATTCTAGCATCAATATAGCTGTCAGTTTGAATTTCAGTCTTGAATTATGTCTGTGGACGTAATTTCAGGTGCTGACTTCAATTGTTCTGGATTACTAAGCAGAAGGCCAGCAACTCCTTGCTCTCTGCCTTCTGTCACTCAAGTTCTTTATATTTGTTAACCTCCAAGGCCAACTATCTTTATTAGAGTTTTAAATTCCAAATATTATTGTATTTTTATCAGTTTAATAACAGGATGCAAATTCAGTTTACAATAGCCTTGCTATATTAGCAAACACATTATCATACTATTTCATTTTGAAAGAAAACCTTAGCATTTTTGGTGGCAAGTAACTTTTAGAAATAAAGAGAAAGTAAGTTTTTCAGATGAAAATTTTCAATTCCATAATGTTTTCTATGCTACTTCCTCTCTAATGTGTGCTGTCGTGTGATCCTAAGTGCCTAAGAACAGGTACACGAGGGAGTAACTGTAAGGCATTTTGAATTTCTGATATTTTATTTAAAAATAAAATGGCCTATTTTCTCCAAATAGAGCACACATGAAAATTTTTAATGAAAGTATTTCTGTTGTACTATTTCTGTATAAAAAGTTGGCTAAAAAAAAAAATGAAGAATGGTGCCCCCCCCCCCCCTTCACAATCCTGACTGTTTTTGAAGGATTGGAGGGTCAAATCGTTAAGAAAAATATTTACATAAGCTATTAGCAATCATAATTAGAGTGTCATATAATTCTGTATGCAACGACTAAGGAGAAATCACTAGAAGTCCAGGTGCCTCTTGCCTCCGGCCATCACGCCACAGCCTGGGTCCAGCAGTTTGGCGGATTCTGCCAGATCGTGTTTGCTTGAGCGGCTCACTGTGTCTGACAAGTCTGGAGGCAAATGCAGTCGCTATGGCAGAAGATTTCAAGAGAAGGAGGGGGTAAAAAAAAGAATAATTAATTTTGCTTTCACTAGCATACTTCAGAATAAAATAAAATATTATGCTCTGTTGATCAGCATTTAGTCTTGCATATAAAATTCCTGCTAAAACAGTTCTTTAGAAGGAAGCCCAATATAATCACATCTTGTTCCTACTAGATTTCATAAATTAGAGCCATTGAGGAAACTGGACCAAAAGTTTTAGTGGATATTTTCAATGTCCAAACCTAAATGCATTAGGATTTTTCTCATTTAAGTAGAAATGAAAACATATAAACAATAAAAGCATAATTGAAAGTTATCATATCAATAATGGCCGGGTTATTTTTTGGGCTTGGCTTTGTTTTTGCCAGGGCTTCAAAATGCTATTTTCTAATCTAATATAGCTTTACTGCAATTGTAGATTTTCATAAATGCTTGTTTCTTTTTACCTACTAAGTTGACTTGATGATTCCATTTCAATACTATGGTTTCTCTAGTAACCTACAATATTCATAGAAATGCTGCCATAATGACAAAAATAGCAATCCAAGGGTCAATATTTTTCATATGCTCCGAAAAGTCAGCTACCACATCAATTCAGGACTTTCATGTTTGTGTCTATGAATGATGTTGTGTTGTATTCCAAAAGTACCATTTGGCTTTATACATTCTCTGACCGTTATTTTTCTACAGACACAGGCTGATGTAAACAGACTTAGTAACCAACCATAATTATAGAACTGTTCATGTAAATAGGGAGAAATATTCTTATCTCAAAAGAACTTTTTAAGTTTTCTAAAGATTCTCTGTCAATTCATTTAAATATTAGTAGTTCTCCTTGGAGGCCAGGATGGTCAGATGTCGTCTTATAATTTGGATATAGTGTCAGGAGGGACCAGTCACTGGAGAAGGATATCATGTTTGGTAAGATGAAGGGTTAGAGAAAAAGACGACGCTCCCCAGAGAGATGGATTGGCAAAGTGGCAGCATCAATGGGCTCAAGTGTGGCAACAATTGTGAGGTTGGCCCAGGACTGGGCAGTGTTTCGTTCTGTTGTGCATAGGGTCACTATGAGTAGGTAGCGATTTGATGGTACCTAACAACAACACTGCTCCTGCCCTACATGGCTTGCTTCATATAAATCTAACGTAAAGGAACATATCTGCTATGTGAGGAACAAAGCAGGTATGGGAGGAGAAAGGGAAGGCAGGATGAGGCCCTTAACTGATGATCATCCAAGATCTTCTAGAGGGGAACTGACCTGGAGACAACCCATGTGAAACCCTTCATTTGGAAACCTTTCTTCAATATGAAAGGAGGGGGTGGGGAAGATGGCAAAAAGTGGAAACTTTTTTTTTTTTTTTTTGTATACTTATTATTGCTCTCTTCCTTTTTGTCTATCTGGCTTCCTTCCTGATAAAAGGCTTGTTTATTGTCATGTAAACACAAGCTGTGTGCAAAGGATCAAAATATTTAAGCACA